TCCGTTGGAAATTCCAATGAATATTCCAACAAACTTAATTTTATGTTGGAATAAGTGTTGGATAGTTGAGGAATTCCAACGGATTTTTCCGTTGGAATAGCTGTAGAATTTTATTTCCATAAGATTTTTCGTTGGGTATTTGCTATTCCAACGGCCGTTTTTCCACGGATTTTTATACATAGGAATATCTATTGGAATAGCTATTCCAACGGATAAAAAATTCCAACAAAAAATTTCCGTTGGAATGTAAGAGTTTCTTTTGTAGTGTTGTGTTATATTATAATAATATTTTTAACTTACAACTTTAACTACATTAAACATAAATATATCAACTGAGAAATAAATTTATTTTTTTAATAAATTTTAATAAATATTATTATTTTTTATTATTATAAAGATAAATATAATTTATTTATTTTATAAATACAATATGGATGTCAAATCGAAGATCATGAAAAGATGATTAATTTGATATATTATATATGTAAAACCGATAAGAAAAACAAAAGTTATCAACTTTTAAAATACATTTATAATTCAATAGCTAATTGAAGGAAACAAATCAAAAGTTAGGAATATATTAGTCACTTAGTGCCTCAATATGTAAAATTACAAAGAATTAAAAGGTTATATATTAGTACAAGTGATATTAAAATACCTAAGTTAGTTAAATAATATTTATGGAATGTCCGAACCTAGATTATTAATTATTAATATATCAATAATATTTGTCCAAACCTAATTACGAAGCATGATTCTTCGCCAAGTAGGATTTCGAAACACCAGAAACAACCACGTAGGCTCAACGCATTCGGGAATTATATATAAGAGGGATATAAGTCTAACACAAATATTATTTACAACTCTAATAACTTAATATTAAAATTTTTGAAATTCTTTACAAACATTTTTATATGTGATATATATGAAATCATTGTCAAATGAGGATTAATTTGATAAATCATATATATGAAATTAGAATATAGATAAAAAGTTATTGATTCATATAATATGATAGTTAATAAGTGAAATAAATAAAAATCAATAATAACTGAATTTGTTTGGTAAGATTAGATTTAGAAAAGAGAAAATGAACAAAAAATAAATGTATACTTATCAAAATTGCAAATAAATTATTCGTGTCAAATACCAAGCTAGATTTCCAAAGCAATAACGTTTATAAAAATTGAATTATGAAGCACAAAATTTGTCATTTCAGTACTATCATTTAAGTACAACACACGTTTTGAATTGATGATATTTATCTAGAAAAAAAAAAATTGGTCCTATTTGTGTTGACCATACAACCAGTTGAACTTTTTTTTTCCCCAATTTTATTAGTTTAAATTAGTCTTATGCAAAACTTAGTCGAGTAATGCTATAGGTACATAATAGTGTACATAGAGGTGTACATAACACTCACATTTAGTGGGACCTACCAAAATTAAAAATCAAGTGGACCCCACTCCATGTGAGTGTTATGTACACCTCTATGTACATTTATTATGTACTTGTAGCATTTTTCAACTCAGTCACAAGTCACAGATTGGTTCGACAAAATTTTATTTTTAATCTATTATCTTGGTCTCTTTTTAGCATATGTCTGCCTTTTTGGCAGACATCAAAATCCCTTTATATATCAATTCAAAACGTGAAGAACCGAAGTGGCAGACTCGCATGTTTCGAGATCATATGTGGCGAAATTACATGATTCGTTATTAGACTTGGGTAGATTTTAATTTACTTTCAATCCAAAAATAATTAGATCCGTATTTGATTATTTATGATAATGTTACATGTATTAATTGCATTTTACTATCATTTCTTATTATAACTATTGAATTGTAAATGTATTTTAAAAGTTAATAACTTTTGTATTTTTTATTAGTTTTACACATATAATATATCAAATTAATCACATTTTGATGAGTTTCGATTTAACATTCATATTGTATCTATAAAAAAAAAATTTAAAAGTTAATAACTTTTGTATTTTTTATTAGTTTTACACATATAATATATCAAATTAATCACATTTTGATGAGTTTCGATTTAACATTCATATTGTATCTATAAAAAAAAATAAATTATATTTATGTTTATATACAATAACAAAACTGTTTTTAATATTAATTAGAAAAATAATATTATTTATCATTAATATATTTATATTTCAAGTTGTTTTATGATATAAATTATAAGTGTCATTCTAAACATATTTTTTTGTAAAAAAATAAATGAAATTTAAAATAATTTTTCTCACTAATTTTAAAATTTTAGAATAGTTTTTTAACAAGCACTAGTGTAATACACATGTGTTGTACACATATACAATAATCATTAGTGGCAGGATAAAGGTCGGATTATCACGGGCTTGACGCGGTCTGATCATGAGCACTGTCAAAACGGGCTATGGACCGCGGGCTGGCCCGTCCGCCCGCCTAAATGGACAGGCTTGGGCCTTTGCTTGGCCAGCCTGTTGCCCCATTTGGCCCGCGGGCTGGGGCGGGTTGGACCGCGAGCCATCCAATTTTTTTTAATGACAAGTATTGTATATTTGTATTCTTTTTTTGCCTTGAATTTAATTGTATAATATAAATATGAAATAAAATGCATTTTTTTTTTTTTATGACAAGTATTGTATTCTTTTTTTTTTCTTGAATTTAATTGTATAATATAAATATGAAATAAAAATGTAAAGACGTGAAGAATTTGAGCACGGTGGAGATTTGATGGAGCTGACAAAACATTGGCCGTCCACTTTTAAATGTCCCAATCCAATCACTTTCCTTAATATAACATAATAGCAACAACAATTATTAAAAATAACCAATTATTAAAGGATGAAAGTTTTTAATTTCATTTTGCATTTTAACACAATTCAATCACAATATATGGTTACCATCGAGATCAAAATGTCGTACAAGTAATTCTTATTCAATTCCCACTGTTTTTTTTTCCTTTTATAGTTTGATTTTAAAAACCAAAATTGCATTATAAATTGCAAAAAAAATAATAATAACAATAAAAAAAACAGTAAGTAAAAAAAAAAAAACCCCGCGGGCGGGCTACGAGCCATGGATTTCCCATGCCCGTAGAAATGCGGGCCATTTTGGCTAGGGATGACAATAAAAATCGTAGGGTCGGGTTACCCACGGGTTACCCGCATTTTCGGGTCGGGTAAACCCGAGATGGTCGTGTTTTGGGTCGGGTTCGGGTAGAGTTATTCTACCCGAACCCCGGGTCGGGTCGGGTAGCGGGTTTTTCTACCCTACCCGTTTACCCGCAACAATTGAATATTATATATACACATATATATGTATTTATAAATTATTATAAATATAAAAGTAGTCATGTGTTAATAGTGTAAAAATTAGATTATTTATTATAAGTTTGATTAATGGTTAATTTTTTTTTTTTTTATGATTTTATATCAATTTTTGTTAATTGTATGATAAAAATTTAAATACTTAATTTTTAAATATAATATTATTAAATTGACTATACAAGATAAATAATTATATTTCATTATTTATTCCAAAAATAATATAATAGTTTTTTGTAGTTTTTTATTGTCGAACTTAGTTAATAAATTGTTTGTTACATTATAATTAATTGTGAAATTATTTTATTTTATTTTTAATATGAAACGATGAATCTAGTAAAGCCCAAATTTAAAAACTCGGGTTACCCATTTACCCGAAGAAAACCCACTAACCCGTCGGGTAAAACCCAACCCGAACTCGAAGATCACCAACCGGGTAACGGGTCGGGTTTGAGTAGTGTAAATTACATGCGGGTCGGGTTCGAGTTTGTCAAAAACCCATACCCGACCCGACCCATTTACATCCTTAATTTTGGCCCGCCTCGTTTGAACCGCGGGTCGGAGCGGGCTGGACCGGACCGGCCCGTTTAACAGTACTACATGGACCAGAAATGTTGGTTGTGCATATAACTTTGGACGGACAATTGACTGAGCAAACGAACCCCAATTGGTATAAATTTTGGATATATGATAGTTTCGATGAGGAGAATTAAACTGTGGATCACATACTTGAAACTTGTGAGACAACCCCAAAATTAGGTTGAAAATAAAACTAAATTATTTTGAATGAAAAATTGAGTGGACAAATGAAATCTAAAATTGAACTACAAATTTGTTGTTATGCCCGTGTTGATGAGACAAATTCAACGGCGAGTCACTCAACTTAAACGTACACCATAAGGCACCAAAATAGCCCATAGGTAGAAAACACAAATTTGGGCCAAAAAATATTTTGGATGACAAATTGAGCAGATAATAAACTCCAATTCATATCAAATTTTGTGGGTATGACATGTTAGATAACAAGAATATGATGCTATATGGCGTCATAAATATAATTAACAAATAAAAAACAACCCAAATATTTATATGAAAAATTGAATGGCAAACGAACAATAATTGGACTAAAAGTTTACGGATATAATTGTTTCGACGAGAAGAGTCCAACGGTGGGTCACCCACTTGAATGAAAATCGGACGACTTTCAAATTAGGTCAAAAAGAAAACGGCGAAATCTATTCTGCCACTTATGATTAGTGCACTTTACTTGATGAATTTTTCAAATTAATATATTAAGTTTGACGTCTGCAAATAAGATGAACCTTTGGTAGAAAGCGACCAATATATCTCTTGACATGTTACCACTATATTTTCTGAATCAAATGATTACCAATTTTTTCTCGTCATCTAACGTTTTTGTAAAGCAGTGGCTGAGATGATAGTGATTTGATGAGGATTCAAGAAAAAAGGTGTGAATTTTGAGGAGGTAATAGATACTAATTAAATTGATTTTTGTTGTGATAATAAAATAGATATAATATGTGTTGACTCTTGACAACAAAAAAGACTACACAAAACATATCAATCAATCCTTAACCATATCAAACGTAACAAACGTTTTAACGGATAGATTACTAGAAAAAACACACCAAATTAACAATAATCACAATTTCATTTAGGTAGTTAAGAGCAACAACAAAACCACCAAGGCCAAATTCGTCATCACACCATAACCGAAATCGCCACTTGCCGCCCGGCTGCCGCCACTTTTGTCGCCGGATTTTGGCGGCGGCAAAGGCGGGCAAGCGAGGCCTTCGCGGCCCTCACGGCACAGGCTGGCAAAGAGCCCGGGCGGGTAGTGGCCGTTGAGATCGATGTATCGGAACATTGTAGAAGCACAGTCGTTGGTTAGGTCATCCAACTCGTCTGCAAACGGGCATGCAAACGCTTTGAAAGACGAGCAACACAGCTTGGCCGAGTAGTCGGGTCCCCGACACTTTTCGGTTATTATGGTGTAGTTTTGGTGCTCAAAATCAACCGGGCAAGCTATGTATACAAAATTAATTGGTCAAGACAACAACAAAATCAAGAATATTTTCATAATAGTACTATTACACTTACATTTGAGAGCCTGAAGAAGCCTCCTCGTGACTATTTGATTTGCACCTTGTAAGTTTATGACATAAAAAAAAAAAGGTTAAAAATATTGAAAAAATAGTCTCCAATAATATTAAATTAACCAATTTTTTTTTTATTATTTTTTTCTTAATGGAGTTATGAAAAGTTTTGAGCCAATTAATGAATCAAAACCTGAAGTTGTAGAGGAAGGCATGATGAAGAGACACACAAAAAGAATGAGGCAATTATTGATCATGAAACCCATTTTCATATTTTTAATTCTTCTCTATGGACCAATACAAACTAGGTGGGAATGGGCTACTTAAATAGATGGAAAGATAAATATTATTTTGTATAGTTATAAAAAATTGAGCCGCTCGTGAGCTTGGTTTCCAGCTTGGCTAAATTGAAAATAGAAATTTTTATGTAATTTCTTATAGTTCAACTCGACTCGTTTTACACTTATAGTCCAAACTCCAGAGCCCTCCATTTTGGTATGGTTGGTTAAGTATAATAGAATTATTTAATTATTCTATCATATAACTTATTCTATATTTTTATTTAAATTGCTCACTGATCATTTCAATAACAAACTTCTTAAATTCGCGTAGTAATAATAATAATAATAATAATAATAATAATAATAATAATAATAATAATAATAATAATAATAATAATAATAATAATAATAAATGGAATATTAATTTGTGGACAAATTTTTTTCTAACTAATATTGACTTAGATTCTAGTTTTAGGAGTTTTGTGGTAATGGCAAATTATTAGCTCTTGTCCTTTTTTCGGGTAGTAAGGGGACCTCATTAACCTATTTTTTCATCAATTTTGAATTGGATTTTACTTAATTATGCATAATTCTGAAGCAAGTCAACAGTGCAAGAAAAGAAAATTAAATCACAAGCTTTTTATGGATTATATTTAGGAGTATTAATTAATTGCTGGGAAATTGTAATTAATTAATTAGTTAATTAGAGCAGAAGATAGTGTCCACTTGTGAGTAATAATACTATAAATAGAAACCTTGTTTAATGACTACTGTCACTTCAGAATTTCTAAATAAATGTATTGTCACGGGAGGGAAAATTTGTTCCTACTTCATGGTACTGCCTTGAAGTATTTAACTAGTACACGACCCGCGCGTTGCGCATACTGACATTAAAAATAATTTGGGTGAATTATAATTTAATATACATATATAGAGTTAATAAAAAGTAGGATAATTATTTTATTTAATATATTTAATATATTCTCCTTAATATAAATTTAGTAATCGATGAACGTATTTATGACCATTGTCAGAAATAATAATCATCAACAAATTGGAATCGGTGACTTTAGAAACAACATATAACTGATTGTAAATATGAAATACCATATGTTTTTTTTTTTAAATAATTAATATAATTAAATCGAAAAAATCATTTGTGCTATTCAATGAAAAATGTTTTTCGCATTAATGACATTCCTTGAAACTTCATCTTCCTGAATAATAAAGACGTTATTACTAATATATAGGTAAACTAATATAAAATAATTGAAAGAAACATGTAGAAGTATGATCCAGTTAATAGTGAAAAATATTAATTGAATACTTAAAATAAGAAAACAAAAATGACCCAATTTTGAACTGCATGCATTTAGTTCCAAATTAGGTCCACGTATTTTTTTCTTTTTTTTAGTTATCTCAATAAATTTAGAATTTTCTTTTTAAAATAAGTCTGATGGTAATCAAAGTGACATGCAAAATGGATCACCTTTTGTAAACTTACAAATAGGTACAATAATTATTAATATTCATGTCAATAACAAATTTATTTATTTTTTGTGTGCAATTCATGTGAAATAAAATTTAATATAATTTTTAGAAGTGAACCTTGACAGAAATTTCGTAAAATAATAAAAGATTATATTATTTTGATAAAACTAACATATATGATATATGATAAGAAAAATAGTTGATGCATTATAATTTATAGTAAACTTTATTGAACTTTATTGCAACAACTTAGTAGCGATATTATACTCACATCACTCTCTTAAAAAAACATGGGTTATAATAACAAAAAATTAACAATAATTAATATGTTATGATATTTTTATTCATAAATATTTATAGTTGCATAATTGTGAATAAATAAATAAATTAAAATAAGGGCAATCACTAT